CCATGCGTTGTCGTGGTCGGCTTTATTACCACTTGGCTCGTCGCCCTTGTATCTACTATTATCTGGAACGTCCATGTCGTGATCGTCATGCCAATATTCTTGTTTTTCGTGTCTATCGATGGCCTGTTCGTTTCGTCTGCATTGTACAAAGTTCCATCCGGTGGCTGGTTCACTATTGCCATGGCTGTAATTCTCTCAAGCACTCTCCTCGCTTGGAATTATGGTGAAGAGTGCCAACTGGAAGCAGATAGAGATGAGTCCTCTCTATCCCGCGCAAGGCTATTTGGCGACACGAATGGGACGCTGTTTATCCGCGAGGGAGATAAACATCTCGACGTGAAGATAATTAGAGGTATTACTATACCCCTTTGACCGTGGTAATCCGACCATATCTAACCGCATTCACTGGTTATTAGGAATAGGGATATTCCTCGTCGAAACCGATTTGAATTCTCCTCCGGTCTTTGATCACTTTCTGAGAAAATTCGAAGCGTCTCATGAAATAACTGTTCTGCTACACATCAATCGTATACCTAAATATCATGTATGCATTATTTCATAGACAATGAGAGAAAATTCATGTAAAACTAGAACGAACTAACCTTTTTTTTTTCCATAAACGCAATGCAGGTAGCCCCCTCAAACCGGCTCCGAAGCTCTGCAACCCCCATCCGTGGGGTATATCGCGTCACCCTCTGCCTTGGTTATGGCGATACCATTAGCTGGGTCGCCTTCGAGCAATCATTAATAGATGAATTGGAAATGCTGATATCCAAAAATACCGCTGCCACCCCACCCACCGACGCTGAGACCGACTGCGACCTTGACCCTCATCAAAGCCAACCGCTCAAATCATCATCGCCACGGTCACCCCTTTCCTTCCAGCTCCCCAGGTCCACTTCATCCGGCGACATCCCCCTGTCAATCATGTCAACGATTCACACCCAAGCAGACCATCACCAACACGAACAGCTCGCCCCCCCGGATCTAAAAGCCATAACACAAAAGCCCATCACGTATATAATCTGCAGGGACAAGCTGTTTATCAAGGAGGAGTCGAACTTTGTGCGCCGGGCAATACTCACGGTATTTGTGGCCGTGAGGAATCAGCAGCGGACGAAGTTATCGCAGCTGGAAGTGCCGGCTGATCGGTTGGTGGAGATTGGGTTCTCGAGGGCTGTGTAGGTTTGTTCTGATGGCCAATCCTATAACTAAATATATCGGATGGAGGGTCGTGGGCAGGTGGATTTGCCGGCCTTTCTTTTCTTTTCTTTCTTTTTTTTTCTTTCTGTCGCTGTATTTCTACACTACTTCTAGATCCTGATCACGTTCGCCTTTCAGTTTAGGGATTCTGTTTTGTAGAGGTTATTATCTGTTCAACGACATTTAGACATATATTATAGAATAGAACGTGTTTTATTTAAACTTATATTATCTTTGATTATTTTCCAAAAAGGTCTCACTCTAACTACCCAACAAACACCCTTTTTCAACTGGTTAATAATAATACTCTCCAATTCATATCCAAAACCACAACAACGATAATCATCACCCGGAACGAACGCAATGAGAAAGCGGAAAGGCGGAAATCGACTCATCGATGCAAAGGACCTACCGATTGCTCTTAAATAGAGATTATTCCTTACAACGGCGGATCTTCATTATGAGATACCGTTAAAAAGAATAGGAGAACCATTGAAAATCATCCCAAAGAAGCTTGGACAAGTGGCTAGATAGATGAGTGGACCTTGGTTGAGCATGAGATCAAGCAATCAGGTATCGAAAGGAACTTCGATATATGGGAAGACTTCTTTCTCGCCAACACAACTTCCGATCGACAACCGGTGAAGGGAGAGGTTAAGATAGGAGCAAAACGGAGCTCCTGCTTCGTGCGGAGAGTCAATGACTTCCGTTCAGAATATATAGGGAGAAAGAATATCTGAAGCAGGATAGTCGCAATCTAGATCATCCTTGGACAGAATGTGATTATCTCAATCCAAGACCTACCTACCACCAGAAGGATGGAAGGAGAATGGGATTTCGACGAAAAAAAGGCGGATGAAGCTCTCAAGAATTGTCGGAATTGGATGATTTCCGAATATTACCACAAAATTGCTGAATATCGACTTGAATTTAACTTAGATGATGATGATTAGCATTCCAATAAATGCTAGTTGCTATTAAGATAATATCAAAATACTTTCGTCTGGGCAGTAAGTAACTAGTGGGAATGAAACAAAACGAAACAAAACAACAAAATCCAGAGAAATATAAACCTGCTCACTGAACAAGGCAGAATTTCAAATCCAATCATATACGTGTATAATAATAATAGAGACGTATGCTTATCCCCGGCCCCTCTAAGCAAACCAAATCAGGTAAAAAGAGCTGCAGCCAATCATCTAATCGGAACAGAATTCCATAGCGACCAAATCTCCCCGCGGCGGATTTCAAGGACAGAAGATTGGAAGAAGTGGAAAGAGGAGAAACAACCCGTCAAATAAAAGAGAGAAGGGGAAGCCTCCAAGACTCCAGTAGATAGATATACATATCAAATTATCTATGGTTCGCGCCAGGTAGATGCGTAGTCATATAAAACGTCAGTCAAAATCGAAAATTGGAGACAGACACAAAATGCAAACATGCGGAATGGCAATGGGGCTGTCTCTCGGTTGATTAGAAAGGGAGATTTTTCTTTTCTTTTCTTTTCTTTTCTTTTCTTTTCTTTTCTTTTCTTTTCTTTTTTTTGGCTCTTTTCTTGCTCTCTTCCCGTTTTCTTCTCCGCCTTCTTATAGTATCACCCATTCCCCTTATCATGTTTAGTACAGCAAACTCGAGAAAATAGGTTGATGGAAGAGATGAAATTAAAAACGAAAACGAAAATAAATTAAATTAAAAATTAAAAAAATACATTGAGGGGAAGTGAAAAAAAGGGGGGGAAGATGCTCATCGATTTTATTGCTCTGTTTTAGTTTGAGATTTTTGTCAACAGGAAAAAATATATATCTTTCGAAAATAACAAAAACAAAATTGTACTAAACAAAAGAGCTAAAAAAAAAAAAAAAAAGGGAAACATGCGCGGGCAGAAAATAGAAATATATTTGAAGAGGAAAAAAGAAAGAAAAGAAAGAAAAACACAACCCCCGATTAATGTTAGAAAATGGAAATCAATCAGTATATTTCGCCACTGAAACTCACACTCACGTTCACTCACATCCGCCCAACATACACTTACATCCACACCACAAAAAGAACATGTTGAAAAAAAACATTTATTGTTTTGGAAAAAGAAGACAAAAAAAATCTATGCCTCAATCATGCCATTCTGTAACATATATTGATAGGTACCGTATCCAATGGCGCCCACGAGGATGAGGATGGCGTACAGGCCGACGCCAAAGCCGCTAACATCTTTCGAGCCCGTGGTGGAGGAGACGACGGGGTTTTGCACTTTTGCGACGGGGTCGCCGGGCTGTAGCGTTTATCATTGGGGGAGGGGGATGGTTAGCCATTGTTGGAATGTTGGGGTTTAGGGTTCTGAGCTTTCGGGGATGTGAGGAAAGGAGGATGGGATGGATGGGATGGGGTGAGATTATGGTTTATCCTATTTCTTTTGTTGTGTACGTGTACATATATATAATTTGCGGGTTCCGAAAGGGCAAGGGAGGAAGACAAAAGAAAAAACCAAACGCACTAGTCTCTTCAGCTTTCCGATCTGGAGACGCTCTAGGATTTCACGGGCCTCGTCGCTGTGGCCGACGTCTTCGAAAGCGTCGGTGGCATCTCGACCGCCGACATCGAGGAGGACTTCTTCGCCGCCGCTGTTGTTGAGATAGTTAGCTTTGTATGTGGTGGATTTGCAGATTTGTATGGATAAATGAATGTAGACTGCACAAAAAAAAAAGATCAAGACGAAGTATATAAGAAATGGCATCAGGAGGCAGGTCGAGGTTCAACTGGAGAGAGGTATGCAAATTCTCTTCCCCGACCCACTCCAATTGAATCCAACAAGGGCAAAGGGAGGGAGGATGTGGGAAGATAGTGAATTGAGGAGAGGAATTCAGTGGAAAAGGGCAAACGTACGGATGCTCATCGACGAAGTTGGAGACATCGTAGACTGTGTCATGGATGGTGACATATAGGTCCTTCTTGGTGTTGTGCTCGGCGAGTTCCTTGAAGGTCAATTCCTTCGAGTCAGACATGGTGCGAGAGAACGTCTTTTCGTTCTGGATAATGTGGCCAGGGACGAGAGGCGAGGATACGGCGAGAGTAAAGGAGGTGAGGAGACAGAGGGAGAGCGAGCGTATGCGCGTGAGTGAGTGAGTGTGTTGGGAGCTGTTGAGGTTGGAGGTGAAGAGGCGAGGCTGATGAGGATTTGGGACGGTAAGTCAGCAAAAATAGCAAATAGAACAATTGGTAAATATCACAAGCAGGACTGAAAGACTCCTCACTAATAACAATAATCAAAAAAACCCAAGGCCCGAAGGTCAAAATCAGAAATACTAGCGGTTAATAAATAAGTTGATTTAAAATCCAGCGGCGGCCGGGAAGATATTTATTTCTTGAGCATGCCAAGCGCACTCTTGTATGTGTGTTTCAAGCATACAACGAGTAAATATGGCTATGCTCTCTAGAAATATCTCATTACCATTACTCTCTCTTTTACTATTACTCCAGTCTTCAAGCATTACCATAGGACCCTGCAGCGCCACCGGTGGTTGTCGGTGCCTTTGGCTGCTTATTCCCCTTGTCAATATTTATCTCCGTATATCGGATCATTATTTCATATGCGGCTGAGAGTGATGCGATGCGAACGAGCTCCACGAGATATTCGTAGTATCCAGAATCCAGGACGGTCCTCTCTCCCTCTCTCACTCTCTCTCTCTCGTCTCCGCCTGCAGAAACCAGACACAATGTACATGTACAATAGAAGCTGGCGTTTCTTTGTTCCCTTGTCGACATGAGGAAATCTTTTTGCCTAGGTGCCTCAGCCAATCACCGCTTGCTGATTCATTCCTGTTCGCGGTGGAAACGGGGTTAAAGCGGGTGTGTGGGCTTGGATATACGCTGCGGAATGGGTAAGAAAGCATACGACTACTAGGAGCAGTAGAAGTAGTATCCCGATGGAAGAAAGAGGGATGGTTTACTGTACTCTGCATTGGTTAGTATCGTTTGTTGTTTCTTGCCAGCGAAATATCTTCTGATAAATATAACACCCATCCAAATACTCGCACGTAATATGGGGAATCTTTGAACAAACTAAATAACTACCGGGCACCTTGCATTTTGATGCTGTTTCTCTATGCATGCTGTGCATTCATACGTTCTCTTCTATCTAGCTGCTCAGTGTTTCTTGAAGATAATAACTAGAGCATCCATCCTAGCCTTGCTCAGTATAGATACAGTATATCAACTTGAAAGGGTTAGATGCCAACACGGAGCAATTCAAGTGGCCAGAAGGATCAAACCTGGAGATTATACAGTGTTTCACAGAACATGAGCCGACGGATATTTCATGACTTGCATAGTATACTAGTATTTCATCAATGCGTTGTTGGCCCTGCAGCGTCGTGGTGCCAAGCAACTTGCATCATTGCAGTCGATGCTGCTTCACCACCGACGCCAACCACCCTGTCTGATCTGGAATACATAGACCTAGCACGACAGTATCGAGACACGTATATATACATGGCAACTCATCTGCATCAGATCATCCCAGCAAAAGAAGACCCTTCGTCATCCAGTCGCTCCGTCACCTAACCTAACCATCCCATCCCCCTCTACCCTTCTCACCTCATCCTTTCCCCCGCCTCTTTTAACGCTCCCCCGCCCATCCCACCATGTCCCGCAACCGTGTCAAAAACATCGCATACGACCACGATGACTTCGCCTCCGACGACGACAATGACAGTAACGACATGACCCCTGAAGACCGCGAGCAGATGCAGCAGGGCTCCGCACAGGTGCGCCAGCTGCTAGATACGGACACCCCGCCCGTCCCCGCGTCCGACGAGGAGATCTGGGAGGCGCTGTGGTATTACTACTATGACGTTGAGAAGGTGGTGGGGTTCCTGCGGAGTATGTTTTTGATTTCTCTCTCTTCTTTTAAATGCGTGTGGAGTTGCTTATTGGAGATCTTTTTTATTGTGTGTGGGTAGAGAAATATACGCCGAAAACGCCAAAGAAGCAGCAGCAGCAGCAGCAGGTGAAGGTTAAGGGTAAGTAGATTCCTTTTTTTTAAATTGCTATCTTTACTTCTTTTCCTACGGGAACTACACATTCCTATCGTTCTATGTGAGGGCGAAGGGGTCGGAAAACCTATTTCATATATATAAATATATGGCTGTTGGGGAAGTCGTGGGCGGATTGCATATTGCGAATATCCGATTCAAAAGCGTATGTTCCTCTTCTCCTAGGTTCGATCTTTTGCTCTGTTGTATATTTTTCCGCTCCCAACCAACTGATCCAACGCCAGCGAATAGTTTCTTCCTTTTGTTGAATTTTCTGGTGAAATAAACAGAAAGAAAATTCAGAAGAAAAGAAAAGAAAGAAAAGAAAAGAGGTCCCCTTGTCTAATTCGTCCCTCCAGGAACCGCTCCATCATCATCTCCATACCCCGTCCCGATGTGTCCAGAACCTTTCTCCGCTGCCGACTTCTTCAAGGATTCGCCATGGCTGAATATCCCCACCCGCCGCAGAGCTGACATCCTAATCGAACCTCTCTACCCTCGACTGGGCTTGCTTGGTGGTGCGCAAGAGACATCGGGGAAGGTATCGAAACTTGCCGCGCTAGCTGCGCGCAAGAGGAAAGAGAGCGAGAGGAAGGCTGCGGCGGAAGCTGTCAGTGGTGGTGTGGTTACTGGCAGTGAGACATCCGAGGGCACTCAGAATCAACAGCGGAAGTCCCGTGTCTCGCTGCTGGATAGGTTAGCGGTTGACGGGAAAGCACAAGGAGCTCTGCTAGCCCGCTCCATCCATCTGCCATTGCGGAGTGGGAAGGATGCTTTGAACTGGTCGTCGCTCAAGAAGCCGCTCCGGGCTAGTCCTGATGTTGCGGGCACGCCGGAATCTACCACCATGGTGCCTGGCGTTCCTCCGAATGGAAAGAGAAAAGCCACAGCAGCGCTGTCTGGAGAAAGCACGGCGCAGGAAGTGGAACGCCCCTCGAAGCTGCCTAACCTACGAGCGGAACCTTCAGCATTTGCCCTGGTCCTTGTCGGCGCGGGAGGAGCTGAAGATGGAGGTGACCGTGATGACGGCTTCATACCCAACCCCATCTCACATAACATCGACGTCATGCGATTCTTTGGTCAGGATCTTACTGAAGCATTTGACTTTGCAGAACCAAGCCCGGACGATATTGTCATCAAGGCACGGGAGTCAGCTAAAGGTTTGTTCAGTATTCGCACAGTCGCAGCAAACACGCGTTAGAAGTGAAAAACAGTTTAAAGAAGTGAAGTATGAAAAGTTAGAAGCCTAACCATTTTGTGGTGTTTCATTTTTTTTTACCGCTTGTGCGTAAAAAATTAATAGGCAATTCCAATAAGAATAAAACAAAACGGACGACTGCGAATAAATCGTCACCAGGAAAGAATGATGATGTGGTGGAAGGCATTGGGGAGCTGTCTATCCAGGAGACAGCGAAGGTCAAAAGCAAGAATATCGATGTTTTGGCCGAATATCGCAAAACGGAGAGGAAAAAAGCCGCTAATTTTGTTGTCATCGGTATGGAATCCAATAGAAACGTGGCTACAATGAAGATGGGAGATCGAGGCTAACCATCTGATATCATTGTGATTCCATAGGCCATGTCGATGCTGGGAAAAGCACACTGATGGGACGACTGCTTTACGAACTGAAGGCGGTTGACCAGCGAACTATTGATAGGTACCAAAGGGAGGCCGATAGGATAGGCAAGGGCTCGTTTGCACTGGCATGGGTGCTTGACCAGGGGTCAGAGGAGCGGGCACGTGGGGTGACGATCGATATAGCAACCAACCGATTCGCGACGGAGAACACCAACTTCACGATCCTAGATGCGCCAGGCCATCGCGACTTCGTACCCAACATGATTGCGGGAGCAAGCCAAGCGGACTTTGCGGTGCTAGTCCTTGACGCCACGACCGGAAACTTCGAATCGGGCCTAAGGGGCCAGACGAAAGAGCATGCCCTCCTCGTCCGAAGCATGGGCGTGCAACGGATCGTCGTTGCAGTGAACAAGATGGACGCAGCCGGGTGGTCGCACGACCGTTTTGACGAGATCCAACAGCAGACGGCCTCCTTCCTCACCACAGCCGGCTTCCAGGCGAAAAACATCTCCTTCGTCCCCTGCTCGGGGCTACGGGGCGACAACGTGGCCCAGCGCGCACACGACACGAACGCCAGCTGGTACACCGGCCGGACGCTCGTTGAGGAACTCGACACGTCCGAGCCATACACGTACGCGCTCGACAAGCCGCTACGCATGACCATCGCCGACGTGTTCCGCGGCGGCGTGCAGAACCCGCTCTCCATCTCCGGGCGCCTCGACGCGGGCCACCTGCAGGTCGGCGACCAGCTCACCACCATGCCCAGCGGGGAGACATGCACGGTCCGGAGCCTGGCGGTCGACGAGGCGCCCAGCGAGTGGAGCGTGGCGGGGCAGAACGTCACGCTGCACCTGACGGACATCGACCCGACACACGTGCGGATCGGGGACATTCTGTGCAGCCCGTCCGCGCCGGTGAAGAACGTGACGTCTTTCACGGCGAAGGTGCTGGCGTTCGATCATCTGACGCCGATGCACATCGAGGTGCATCGCGGCCGGTTACAGGTGCCCGGGCGCATCAGTCGGCTGGTTGCGCTGCTGGACAAGGGCAGCGGGATGGCCGTGAAGAAACGGCCGAAGATCGTGGGGCCTGGAGGCGTTGCGCGGATCGTTGTGGAACTGGAGCAGGCGATTCCGCTGGAAGCGCCTGGGAGGGTTGTGCTGAGGGCTGCGGGGGAGACTGTTGCGGCCGGATTGTTGGAGTGATTTATTGTTGTTTTTTTGTTATGGTTTGGGGCTATGGAAATGGTCCCCTTTCTCCTTTTACATTTTACACGACGAATGATAGATCCATGGATGGATGGACGCTTGGATGAATTGATTGCGTGAACGCTTGGGTGCCCGATAAGGTTTATTCCCCCAAGGTATAAGGGCATTCCCCATCTCATCTAGGAATGAGGTCATGGCACCATACGGCTTTTACTAGTACTATGCAAGTTCACAGGGAACAGAGCTGATTACAAGCCAACAGCTACGTAGGAATTCCCGCACAAAAAAAAAAAATAAAATAAAATAAAAGAAAGAAATAAATGAAACACACAAAGTGGACAACCTGTCCACAGCAAGGCGGCAAGGCTCGCAGTCATAGTCACAGTCACCGTCTCATCTCCTGCCTTGCTCTCCCGTACACAGGTAGAAAAGTGTCCTTTCAATCAGCGGCTGTATCGACCCCTTGCAGCCCCTTCCACCGTGCGTCTATCGCCACGCCCAAGCGCGGCCTACTTCCACGGTGGAAGGCACCAGAACCCCTGCGGCAGCGCGGCACCGTGCTGAGTCACGGGCGCCCAGCCAGCCAGCGGCGGCGGAATCGCCCTCAACGGCCAGCGCGCAATTGCCACAGCCGCACGGGGCGTGGCAGGGGTCGCGGCGCTAGGGCCCGAAGCAGACTAGCGCGGGCAGTGGGCAGCCTCTGAAAAGGCCAACTGTTAAGAAGAAAGCGGAAGGAGCATACAAAACCACATCTGTCGATCTCCGTTGACCTCGTTCTCACTCTCACTCACTCTCACTATCTCTCACTCACACTCTCTCTCCCTCTCTCTCATATATGCCTTCTCCAGGGCGAGCTCAGCACAGCTAAGCTACGAGTCTTGAGCATTTCCCTGCATTGAAGATACCCCTTCTGAGCTGTTTGCTGTTTTTTCTTTCTGTTTTTCTTTCAAACATCCCCCTTCTCCGCCCCCGTTGAGATAGAAGACGGAAAGAAGCCCTTGCGAGAGAGCAATAGATAGCTTCACTAAAAGCTGGTTCTCCCTTCTGGAAGGAAAACTAAGCTCGTACCACTCGCACGAACACACACATACACACAGACACCATGTCCAGAATGTCGCGGCGGGACGCTTCGTCCTCGCCCTTCGCCTGGACAACGGTCCTCTATCTCCTCCTCGTCTTCATTGCACCCCTCACTCTGCTGGGGACGGCACACGCGGGGGATGATCAAGTGCCCATCAAGGAGGATTATGGCACCGGTATGATTTGATTCCCCGTAGAAGGTTTTATTCTATACAAGAGTGAAGAAATGAAGAAATGAAGAAAGAAAGAAGGAAAGAGGTGCCGAAGTTGTTAGTTGCATTTGCTAACCTTTGTGTGTTTTCTTCCGTTTTGCGCAGTAATTGGCATCGATTTGGGAACGACATACTCATGCGTCGGAGCGATGCAGAATGGCAAAGTCGAGATTTTCGTCAATGACCAGGGAAACAGAATTACTCCTTCGTACGTGGCCTTTACGGACGATGAGCGGTTGGTGGGCGACGCGGCGAAGAATCAGTACGCTGCGAACCCGAAGAGGACAATCTTTGATATCAAGTACGTATCTTTCTGCCAATTTCTGTCATTTGGATGTTAGTTTTGTTGAACTAATTTTTTTTTTCTTTTTTTTTTTCTCTCTTTTTCTCTATTTAAAGACGTTTGATCGGTCGGAAATTCGATGACCAAGACGCCCAAAAGGACATGAAGCATTTCCCCTTCCGTGTTGTCAACAAGGATGGCAAGCCCCAGGTTAAGGTTGAGGTTAACGGCAAGGATAAGGTTTTCACTCCTGAGGAGGTGTCCGCCATGGTCCTGGGCAAGATGAAGGAGATCGCCGAGAACTACCTTGGAAAGACCGTCACCAACGCCGTCGTCACTGTACCCGCCTACTTCAACGATAACCAGAGACAAGCCACCAAGGACGCCGGCACTATCGCCGGTCTCAATGTTCTCCGTGTCGTCAACGAACCCACCGCCGCAGCTATCGCCTACGGTTTGGACAAGACTGGCGATGAGCGCCAGATCATCGTCTACGATCTCGGTGGAGGTACCTTCGATGTCTCCCTCTTGTCCATTGATAATGGCGCCTTCGAGGTCCTGGCCACTGCCGGTGATACTCACTTGGGTGGTGAGGATTTCGACCAACGTGTCATCAACCACTTCGTCAAGATGTACAACAAGAAGAACGACGTCGATATCACCAAGGACCTCAAGACCATGGGTAAACTGAAGCGCGAGGTTGAGAAGGCCAAGCGTACCCTCTCTTCCCAAATGTCCACCCGTATTGAGATCGAGGCCTTCCACAACGGCAAGGACTTCTCCGAGACCCTGACTCGCGCCAAGTTCGAGGAATTGAACATGGATCTGTTCAAGAAAACCCTCCGCCCTGTCGAGCAGGTGCTCAAGGACGCCAAGGTTAAGAAGTCCGAAATTCACGATATCGTTCTCGTCGGTGGTTCCACTCGTATCCCGAAGGTCCAGGCACTCCTTGAGGAGTTCTTTGGCGGCAAGAAGGCCTCCAAGGGTATCAACCCTGATGAGGCTGTTGCCTTTGGCGCTGCTATCCAGGGTGGTGTCCTCTCTGGAGACGAAGGTGCCTCTGAGATCGTTCTCATGGATGTTAACCCCTTGACCCTTGGTATTGAGACTACTGGAGGCATCATGACAAAGCTCATCCCCCGTAACACTGTCATCCCTACCCGCAAGTCCCAGATCTTCTCTACTGCAGCTGATAACCAGCCCGTGGTCCTTATCCAAGTTTGTACGTTACATTTCCCTAATTCCAATCTTTCGAATACTTTTTGCAGCAAAAAGAAAGACAACGTACTAACAACTCCCACCAGACGAAGGAGAACGCCCCATGACCAAGGACAACAACCTCCTCGGCAAATTCGAACTAACCGGCATCCCTCCGGCTCCCCGAGGCGTGCCCCAAATTGAGGTCTCCTTCGAACTTGACGCCAACGGAATCCTCAAAGTAACCGCCGGCGACAAGGGCACCGGCAAAGCTGAATCCATCACCATCACCAACGACAAGGGCCGCCTCTCACAAGAAGAGATCGACCGCATGGTCGCTGAAGCCGCCGAGTTCGCGGAGGAAGATAAGGCGATGAAGGCTAAGGTTGAGGCCCGGAACGCTCTAGAGAATTATGCGTTCAGCCTAAAGAACCAGGTAAATGATAAGGAAGGGCTCGGTGGCAAGATTGATGACGATGATAAGGAGACGGTATGTTTCCCCCCTCCCCCGGGTCATTTCCTATCCCAAATCCATTATCCACAGTGTATTGTCCTTGTGAAACATTTAGAAGCTAACGACTGATAATTACAGCTCATGGAAGCCATCAAGGAAGCTACCGAGTGGCTCGAGGAGAACGCCGCGACGGCCTCAACTGAGGACTTCGAGGAGCAGAAGGAGAAACTGTCCAGCGTTGCCTACCCGATTACGAGCAAGTTGTATGGCTCTGAGGGCGGGGCTCCTGGTGGTGAAGATGACGAGCCGAGCGGACATGATGAGCTGTAGTTTTTGTAATGTAGGACGGTGGTGAATTACTGTTTTTCTTTTTTATCTGTAATTGTTACTGATTGATAAAATGTCTTGATTGTTATATTCATTTTCATTTTCATTCTCACTATCAATATCATTTTCGTACAACATAACCAAAAACTTTTGCTGCAATGCTGCGAGGGTTCTCAGAAAATGGAGTTAAATTCTTTCTTCTGGTTTGCTTTGCCCTGATCTTTTCTCCTCTACTCTTCGACTTAATTATACAGATGGAGTTACTCCTTCGCTTCTCCTTTTCTTGATTGACCAACTTGTTTTTTAGAGCTTCTGTGAGTTCGTAGCTTGTTTATTTGTTTATTTTCTTTTATTTTCTTTATTTTTCTATTTTTTTTTTTTTTTTGAACAAAAAGCAAATTAAATTGAATTATTGGATGGGAGGGAAGGAGGTGTGAGAGAGACAACTATGATAATAAATGAAGAACAAGAATAGTAGTAATGTTTAGAAATGCAAGACTAATAACAATGATAATGAAAGATGAGATAGATAACAAGAAAGGAAATGGATATGAAGAGTTTTCATCGCAATTCTGATTGTTGAGAATAGAAGAAGGTGCTCAGTAGCACGAAGCCTACCGGTACAGTACATATATTATTTATTATGTTGCCATCCATGATGGAAAAGCGGATTCTTCCGCCGCCGCTTGCTTGCATATATCTGACCTCTCCCACGCCACCATCGCCCAACGGTCGCCGCCATATAACCCAGACGCCAGGAGCAGAAGAAGATGCTTCGCCGCTGGTCCTTCCACGGACTCAAATATCATCATAGCCCCTCGGTATGTGTCCTACAGGGAGCTCTGAACTCTGAGTTCGTCCGTGGCCCACGTCCCGGATCCGCTTGCTGGTGACGACGGGCGGAAGAGAGGTATATGCTGGTGCGCTGGAGGTTGGCGAACTGACCCGTGATCCGGAGCGGTGAACGCAGGAAACCCCCCCTTTTTTCCCCGCCAGCGCATGGGCAATAATAGGACGGAATATTTGTCCATCTTAGCAATTATGCCGTCTGGATCCCTCGTGAAGGTTTCCGGGAGGGGGGTTGTCCATGTCATTGTATAGGACGATGGATAGGATCCAGATCCAGATCCAGATGTCTGCGGTGGTGATGCGCTTGTCGAAGAATTTCTCTACGGGTTAGTGGTGAGTGAAGGGCTAGGAAGGGTGTATTTTGAAATGATACATGGCATCTCATAGTCTGCGATTGGGATTGGTAATTTCCAACACCCATCAGCTTGTTTGTAGGCATTTTGCCACATCGTGAGATATGTAAGTAGCCCTGCATGCCGTGGCGCATGAGGCGTGTATTTGTTGATGATTTCCATTGGGGCTGTCAAAAGAGAACTAACTGCTTGAGCAAGGGTTGGGAAAATCTGTCTTCCGAGGGCAATTTGGATTATTATCCTTTGTCAATTGACGGGGGGATTTCACCCTCATTATCACCACTCTGTGAAGCACCAGCGACAAGTATTGTCAGTGATAATAGTGCCGGGGAGTTGGTGATCATGGGCGAGCCGGATTGTTGAATAACTATTAAATTGATGCTTGCAAGCAATGGTAGAGAGATGTTCTCCAATGAGTGTCGGGATGCTATTCACCAGGCCTATTCCATATCCTCCACGTCTGCTCCGGGCCGGGAAAGCCTTTCTCGTTCCGAAGCTGATGGTCACTCGGCTATGGAATGGTAATGCAGAAATGGATGTACTGGCTGTCGCGATACTGAGGGTTGTCTTGCTGATGGACAAGAGCCTGCTGACAACGGTCAAGCGGAAGGCAGCAATCAACAGGGGCTGTACGGAGTACATAGCACTCTGTTTCGTATATGAAAGAAAAACTGGGGAGAGGGGAAGCGTAGGTGGATCTTCAGCCGCAGAATGTGGTGTGTTATCTGTATTGGAAGTGAAATGGGGCTCTTTGCTTCTGGAAACGTTAAATAAGCTTAAATGGTTAACTCAACGTCTGCCTCCAAACCATCAGTTCCCCGCACTCACTCTTTGCTTCTCTTGACCTTTGTAATTTGCACTGATACATCTGAATAGAGCAGTTGAACTTTGCTGGATCCAGGCCGTGATGTTAGCCTCACTTGTAGCGATAGCCATCTGGCAGGGGGAAATGGGCAGTGCTCAACAGTCATCGACGCTCTGACCTCCTTGCTCCATCTCCCTGTCATCCACCCCACCACAGCTCCAGGGACCAAGTGCCAAATTACGAACAGCTGTGTTGACTCCGACATGTTCTCCCAGAGCCCCTGCATGCATACCCATATCTGCTTCCCCGTCTAACATCCCTGTTCCGCAGTGGATGTCCATCTTCTTTGCCGTGTTTGTGACAACCATATCGGAGACGCCGACCTGTCATGACAAGGATTTCGCTCGGCAGCCAGCCTGGAAATGCGAGGCTCATTTATTGAAGAGAGAGGTTGTTTTGGGGGATCTGCAAGGCGGGGGCGAAACAGACACAGCCCAAGTCGGCCATTCGAGAAGCCCTGGTTGCTCTCTGAATGATCGCCATATTTCTCTGCCATAAGGAGCCACTTTCTCGTCAGAGGGTGGCTATACGTCCAGAGAATGCCTTTTACATATATTAATTATATCCCGTTTATCTCGAGGTACAGATGGACATTTCTGACCTTCCTGCCCTTCGTTCGCCCTCCATAAACTTAATCTTAATCAGACCTCTCTTGAATTTGCATTAAATATCTATCATTGGAACATACATACTTTCACTGTGATGGTAGTAGTAATTTTTTTCTCTCCTTGCAACATGGTTGCTGCACAGTCATATGTTTACACTCTGTTTCTTTGTTTTGCTGCCCTACCCGTGCTGGCGCAAGAAGTTCTTCATGATGGAAAGACATACGTGAAAGCAGACAACTTTGGCTTCACCTTAAATCTGGTCTCTGGCCTCGAAGAAGCTCCCTTGAAAGCTAGGTCTCCGGGCGCACTCGGAGACGCAGTGTTAGAAAAGCGTCAGGGATCGCGATGCATAAATCCTTTGTGGGGTATGGCGATTTTAATTCCCTCTCTTCCAGATACCCTCTCCTAATTTGCTGCTAGGGTAGCAGAAGCTATTAATTTCATCTGTCTGTTTCTATTCCCTTCAACTTTTGTGTCTCTTTCCAATATTTTTTTCCGCCTCCTTAACTTGTCGGCAGGACCGTGTCCAAATGTCCCTTCAAAATGCAAACCCCCTGGTGCCGAATGTTGCGGCTCGCAATACTACTTTTGGCCAGAGACGCATTTTTGTTGTCCAGATTACTCGGGTGCTTGCTTGTTGGGAACCTTCTGCTGTCCGATAAACTGCTGTCCGCAGGGAGGAAAATGTGGATCTGACGGAAGCTGCTCGACACCCGTTCAGATCACTATGACTCGGACTTCAGTCAGCAGGACTACGTCGTCCTCAACAAAAACCCAGTCAACGACCACGCCAACTTCGTCTCGTTGTTCTGTTCCTAAGAGACCGCGACAGGCTGCGCCAGGGAATCCACCCACAGTAAGGATGCGATTTAGGGAGAAAATTATGCAGGTATCTGATGGGAAGGGGGGCCTGCGGGGGGTTTGCGTTGATAATAGGGAGGTACGAGAAACTTGAGATATGCTTCCTCCTTTTGAATATCTTGCTGATGAATATCTGTGTAGGTGCTAAATAGCATGTGTGACGGTAATTACCCTGTTCATCGGTTAACATCTGATATATTAAAGATAATGAACTAATCTGAAAAATACGCTAGGTATAAAGGATTATACTGGCTGCGTCACGGAAGAGATGGAATTGAAGTATGAGCCGGACAAGAAGACCAGAGCTGATAATAGATCGAAGAAATGCCCTGACGACTTTTGCAGTATAGTTCCAAGAGACCCTCGCAATCAATCCTCTTGGCACCTTCGTCGCTGATGTATAGTTAAAATACAGAACCAGAAAATATAGATTGCGATCCCGCGAATCCGAATACGCCTTGTAATCAGTATTATCAATTTATAGACTTTTCTGCCAGCCAGCTGAGCAATAACCACCCTTTCCAGCTTACATGTGATGAGTTTCCATTTGGTAAACAATCGTTTTCCTTTTGACCCAACCTCCAAGACAACTCTCTGGATATCTTCTCTGACCCGGCAATGTACAGCGAACTCGAAAGAGGGAGGAAATCCCAAGCGGGGGACAAGCATATGTGTACCGGCCTGGCAACAGAATATTCAAGGGGGCTATCTGAGTGGCATCGGGAAGAGAGCCAGTGGCCCGGATAGGTCCTACATTTTGAAGATTGTTGGGTGGGACTGTGCCACGCGCCGCCCGAAAAGTGGCTTTTCCACAAATTGTGGGGGGAGAGCCAGACGGGAGATAGAGACCACCTCTAGTCGGGATGTTACAGGCCGTAAGTCATATTATACAAATCTAGATACCCCGTTGGCTGTTCGTAATAAAAGTGTACATGGCTAACTAAAATATTCGTTCAGAGGATTTGTGGATGGATTTCGAACAGCCAGGAGAAAATTATTTGCTTCTTTATATCGGCGATTTGCCTCCAGGAGTGTAAGTTTCCTTTTCTTTCTCTCCCTACATAATATTTTTCTATCTTTTCCTTTCTATTTTCTTTCCTTTTGCTTGTTTCTTCCTTAAAACCGTGACCTTTAAAACACCTCACTCCCTCATTTCACTGACGCGCGTTGTATCTGGATGTCCAGGTATACCTACGACCTCAACCTCAATGCTGGCTCCTTCTCTGATGTTTCTATCATCGACAAACTCGGGGAACAATACGCAGCAATCCCCGGCTTCAATGCCAAAAACGGCCGACAAACCATCTCCTTCAACCTGCAATATGGCGCACCAGGACTGGCGCTCATGGGCGTAACTCGAGATACGAATATCTCTATGGCATATAATGCCACGGGAGCCACGGGAGCCGATGCAGTTCCGAAGAAGAGTTCGGCTGTAGGCGCGTTGCTTGGGTTGAAAGATGGGAATGGTGAGGTCGGGATCTTTGCTTTGCCAGGGGTTGTGGCTTTCGGAATGGCTGCTATGTGGATGTAGATGTGGATGTGAGATGTCCCAAAGGGTTCGTGTCAGAATGAACATAAAATACAATGCGCCTCCTGTAGCGGCATCTCTGCCTCTATTGTTATTTCTTTCTGTTTAATAGTACAAACGTATACCCAATTTCAACAGGAATGCCGGAATAGGTTGTGAAATTCCATCACGGCGAGTCACATTAGGTTTGAGAAACACGAAACATCAAGCAAAATTCATTCTTTAATCTAAACAAAGGCGAGTTGCAAAACAAGGTTCGTTAAAATGGTGGAGTAAAATAAGGATATAAAGCTCAGAGAGAGAACTAAATCTAATTTAATAAGCCTAAATCTAATTTAATAAGCAGCTATCGAAAAATCCAATGGGGGAATCCGAAGCCTAGCAATGTCAAGGCATAGTGCCAGAGAAGAAAATACATCGAGTAAAATTAGAGAAAAGAGAAAAAAAAGAAAGATCCAAGTTCATGTCTAATATGCTAGCTTTCGTTCATAAAATACAAGGTATGCCTGATCATTTTGAAGGCTATCAGCCGGTTTCAAGCCCATGGGGTTGAAATCTGTCACTCGTTGGTCATCAAATTTGCGCCAACATCCACGGCGGTCATCTCTGACGAGGGATATGTAGTGCCCTTCACTACTTGAGGAGCCTATATGGCGGACGATGCCGTAGGCGTTGTAAATGTAAGGGGGGGTGGTCGCAAGCTCCGGCTGTAGTTGTTTATTGTTCCCATCAGCTCTCCCGTTGGGGGCAGATGAGGTGCGGATGGGCGGAGCCATAAACGACGTGATGTCTAGGCCGGTAATGGGGAAGTTGATAGGGGTGTGTATTTTGCGCGTTTGCTGATAACGGGAGAGCGAAAAGCGTTTAAAATGGATTACGAGGAAACGAGGAGCCCTTGTGAGAATGATCTGTTTCGTGGCCTCGCGTTCGGAACGACAGTATGGGCACTTCCAAACTTCGTCACCGCTGAGCATTTCCTCTTGGCAGTAGCTATTGAGACATTGATAGAGGTCTCCTGCTCCCGATGCTGGGGATGACGGAATTTCAACACTGATACTGAAGAATGCTTCGTAGGTGGTGGAAGTACGCCGGCATGTTCTGCAGCGAAGTCGGCTGGCATGTTGCCCGGCAAATAATGAGGAAATGTAGGAGTATTCGCGGTGGCAGTATCGATTCCATTCGATTGTTGAAACTTGTTCGATTGGCATCTGTTCGCGGCGCATTTCTTGTTCAGTTGTCAGCGGCCTGAGCGGTGTTCTATTCCAGTTCAAATTGAGATCTTCATGTAGGCAGTCGAGGAGAACGTCAAAAAATTCCTTTGCGTCCTGTTGTCGGCTGCCAGCCCATTCGGGATTTAGCCGTCCAATAAAATTTCGAAACGACGTAGGACGGATAACCTCGACATCATTTTTCCATAACGACCTTACGAGGTTCGCGAACAAACCAGGAAGAATACCTTGCGAGCCCTTCCAGTTTTTCTGTACTTGGGAATGGAATCGATTGTCGATAAAAAATTTGGTTAGTTGAACGGTGACGCTCAAACATTGGATGATAGCATTCATATAACACGTCGAACCCATGTTGACGAGGCCGGTGCGTGGTAATTTCATGCGGTCAATTGGTGAACTTGAAGCATATAACGCTGTTTTAGACGCGGATGATTGCCGGGCAAGGGGGGCTTGAACATGCCTACCCTCAGACACGCCGCTGTATATGGGTCGAGGAACTGCCGGCGTAGGACGAGGAAGTGACGGAGGTAGAGAAGGTTCAGGCAAAGGAATTTGAGGTGAGACTGCTTGCGCATGTGCTCCAACCATGGACTGTCTAATATCATGAGGCTCGGGGAACCTTCTAAAGAAATCTTCATAATCATGCACAAATGGACTGGGGTGCTCTTGATTATCATAGCCATCAGGCTCTTCCGTGATAGCCCCATCCTCTGTTACATAGGTGGAAGGGTCGATTTCCTCATTCCTAGCTTTTTCGAGCCAGACGCGTTCCTCCTCGGAGTTAAGGGGTTTATATTCACGCAACCTGCGCTTTCTTACTTCCCAGCTGGAATTTGCGCTAGCAGTACGTTTAAGAGGTTTGGCTGCGACCTGGGCTGGCCTCCGAGCATGGATTGAACTCATAACGGCAGCTGTTTTAGAGGTGGCTAATGCGTGAGGGCCAACGAGATCGACCCACGCATCAAGCCCGCCAACCAAAAGAGCAGGTTGTCGCCCATCCTTGAGGGGCTTGTAAGCATTGAATTCGTATAAGGTGTCGTAGAGGGCCCGCAGATGTGGTAGGCTGCTACCTGCTGGAGAGCCAACAAGGTAGGACGCCTCCCGCGTATTCTGATCATAGTAAACAACCAAATCGAACTCGTTCCTTCTGCCGAAAAGAGACTGCTCCACCTCTGGAGAGAGAACCAACCGATCTTCGAGCTCTTCAGCGGACACATTTTCTTTAAGAGCAACCGGCTCTATACATATAATTGACTTGGAGTAAATGTGACCGGCGTCGAACCTATCCCGCGGACGGACATCGATGAGTAATACATCATACTTTTGAAGATAATCGTACAGCCTATCCGGATGTATAGTTGGCTGCAAAGGAATGTCTGCGGAGCGGCTCGGTGCATCTCCCCTCGAGTAAACGCTATTTGGCGTTTGGGATCGGTATGGGCTGTCACCGTTATATCCGTTTAGATTGTCACTCAGTGAGCCATTGAGAGACGGCGTCTGGAGAGATATACCCGGGTTAGCAGTATCAGTTGATGTCTTGGGTGGATTCGAGGGCGGTTGCAATGGAACTGTCCACACTGGACTATATGCTGGACTCGGGTAACGAGGAAGTGAGGTGTTTGCTACATGTAATGGAACTTTCGGCGGTATAACAGGAGGACTTTGCGATGAGCCCATATCGCGGGGTCCAAGAGGTCTTGAGTTAGGGTAGTTTAATGCGTTGTCTCTTGATAATGGCCGCTCTGCTGGAGATGATTGGGATGATGTACTGCTGTGAGGAATGCCATTCTGCTCAGCCGCATTTGAACTTCTATTTTGGCGTGACCGCCTCAACTCCGCAAATCTCTGGGCAAGATTATCTGAGGCACTGGTCTCTGAATTAATTTGTTTGCGAGGGATCTCCGATCTGGGTCTCTGCTCCGTGTTTGGCTGACTGATAGAATAACTTTGTGGGGTAACAGATGCGGGCCGCTTGGGCTGGAAGTTGGATGGGCTGGGCATGCGAAGTGGAGGTTCATTTGGGGGTTGGCTGCGACGATGCATAGGGAGAGATGGGCTATAAGCAGAATCTACTTCGGTGGGAGGTGTCCGGGAGAGCTTCCCCTGAGCGGGAGAAGTTGTTTGAAGGCCGTTGAGGGACTTTTTGCTTTGGTCAATCTTGTGCTTCACGCTCGACATAGTTTCTTCTTGCGATCGAATAGCCTACAGATATTAGCATGCTCCATGCCGTTCTGAAACTCGGGGGACGTCTCATGTTCTCCCAAACTTACTGCCAACAGCTTTATAAACCGATCATTCCACCCCGGATGTTGTCGTCTCATATAATAATAATCTGCGTGATTGGGTATGGCATTGATAGTGATTTCTGAAGCCCGGAGATAGTCATCGAAGGCTAGATCTAGTTTCCCATTTGCTAGGGATATCTTGGAATTTTGGATGGAATCCTCCGAGGTGCGGAGTAGTTCGTTCAGCTATGGTAAAGAGATCGTGTTAACACCGGATAAATATCTCAACATTTTGTCATGGAGCCAGCAAACTGCACATACGGATGCTCCCTCATCAATTTTCATAGACGCAGTGATATCCTCAAGTCGCTCAGCAGTATGATTCGAATGGCTTTGCGGAACAGATCTTGAAGAGGCACCTATCCCCCGGGATGGGTCCTCGCCGCCCATGATGTTCTGACCTCGCATTATCCTATCGCTGCTAGAAACGATCGAGATAGTCGTCTCCTCGCAGGATCCCTAACAACGAGGGAACCCCACTGCACGAAGTATATCACAGGACCGGTATATAAGAATAGCAGATTCGCATTCTCATGAGCGCGATATTCGCAAGCGGCGGGATCAAACCCCGCTACAGCACAGCAGAGGACGTCGAAAGAGAGGGGAAAATAGGAGCCCAGCGATGGATATAAGGGGTCTTAAGAGATCCAAAGGACTGAACAGCAGTGATTGTGAAAAGGCTGCCACCCAAGTCGCAGGTGTCGCACTCTTGTCCTCCCTGGTCCTGTAGCGAGCAAATGGATACAACAACGGCGGAGTCTTGGCACAGGCGGCGCTGGGAAGTGTTACGACGTCACAGCCAGCGAGCGGGAGGCGGTATTTGACTCCGTCTTGTTCCGTATGGAAACGTTGTCATACATCTGTATCGAGTGGACATGGCTGGATTTTGATGCGGCTCACATGATTAAGCAGAAATAACGTACTATATTTACAAGTACTCGTCTGTACGGTAATATTTCGAGGCAAGGCAGCGCTGTTACCACCGCAAACAGCTTCCACCTCACCACCTCGTTACTCTTTATATGAAACCTCCAACCATGCCAACAACCCAGCTCCTTAAGACAGCCCGTGTGTTGAAATTTACTTGATTCTCTTGGAGCCTTGACTTAGTGGTTTGAACTGAGTAGTCTGTGGCTAACCGCAATCAAACACTTCTGGCATCCACACCGAGCTTAAGTTTCCTCTCCTCCGCCATCGTCCTGGTGAATCCCCCTCTACGAATACTGCTAGTTAATCAACATCTGTTCGCATCCCCATAGCTTCTGTCGTCCCGCTACGTACCGAGAGTTCCTGAATTTCGATTTGCAGATTACCGTCGTCATGGCGGGCTGGTTTACCTCTACCTCTCCGTTCGATGAGCAGGTTGAGAAAGCGACCTCGTCATCCCTGTACGTTTCTCCATCAGCGGTAACTATATTGCTGCGCGTTTCTAACTTAGCAAAAGAGAGGATATTGCGGCGAACCTAGAGATTTCAGATGTTATCCGATCGAAGAGCGTACAGCCCAAGGATGCTATGCGATCACTGAAACGAAGATTAGAGAGCAGGAATCCGAATGTGCAACTGGCAACCCTAAAGGTTCAATTACCCCTTCCCAGCCCTGGCCTGTCTGTTTTCGTCTGCTTACCGTGGCCAATCGATATCTAGTTGACGGATACATGTGTCAAAAATGGCGGAAACCACTTTCTCGCGGAGATCGCTTCTCGGGAGTTCATGGATAATCTTGTCTCGTTGCTGAGAGCTTCCGGACCCGCCACTCTCAACGAAGAGGTAAAGACAAAAGTACTAGAATTAATTCAGACATGGGCTTTGGCTACGCAAACCCGCGCTGATCTACCATATATTGGTGAAACCTACCGGGGTCTGCAAAAAGAAGGTTATCAGTTTCCGCCGAAGACAGAGATGGCAAGCAGCATGCTTGACAGCAGCGCCGTAAGTAATTCAACCAGGGCTATTATGACCTCGACAAATATGTATTTTAACCAACCCAAAGCCTCCAGAGTGGATAGATTCGGACGTCTGTATGCGTTGTCGAACTGCCTTTACTTTCACTAACCGGAAACATCACTGCCGGAACTGCGGCAGCGTTTTTGATGCGCAGTGTTCTAGCAAAAGCATTCCACTTCCTCACCTAGGGATTATGCAAGCCGTAAGAGTCGATGACGGGTGCTATGCTAAGCTAACATCGAAATCTTTTAATCCTGCAAACTCATCAAATCGATCCGGACTCAAACCTGCGTCGAGCTCCAAACCCTCCGTAGCTCCGATGGAACCTCGTGGTGGGAGAGCCGAGTCGGACTTCGATGAGGACCTAAAACGTGCTCTCCAGATGAGCCTTGAAGAGGTAAAGGCTCATACTGGTGCTGGATATGTCCCACAGACCAAATCGGCTATACCAGAATTAAAGAAACCTGAGCCGAAGGTGCCCGAAGCAAACGGGCTACATGGGGATTCCTTGGAAGATGATGATCCAGATTTGCGAGCTGCCATCCAAGCTTCGTTGAAAGATATGGAAGAGCAGAAGCAGAAGCACTCAGCTGCTCTGAAAAGCACGACTGTAGCAAATTCATCTACTTCCACTGCCATGTCCACCGCCCTCATGCCGAAGAAAGACTACGAGCTTACTGCTGTTGAAGCAGAAAATATTAATTTGTTTGCCACACTAGTTGATAGGTTACAACATCAGCCTCCTGGCACGATCCTGCGAGAACCACAAATACAAGAACTATATGAGAGCATAGGGGCCTTAAGACCTAAACTAGCGCGTACTTACGGGGAAACAATGAGTAAACATGGTATGTTTTACAAGCGAATTTTTCTGGTCCTTTGCTAACCAAATCTTAGATACCCTTCTCGACCTCCATGCCAAGTTATCAACAGTCGTCAGGTACTATGATCGTATGCTTGAAGACCGTCTCTCAAACACCTACGCACAACACACTCTGGGCACCTACAACTATCTACCATCCAGCCAACCTGCTTCAAATATATATCCATCCATGCCAACAAACCTACCAGATAATAAGGGGGGTGTGGAGAACTTCTATTTTGGGTCGGGGCCTGTAGACAATACTGTTCCTCCGAGCCAATACCACCAACCTGAGCGCCATTTGTCTGCCGGACCTGGCAACGAACAGCATGCCGGTGTGCTTTCGCAATCCACGCAAATTAACAGCGCCCAAAATCATTACCAGCCACTCGCATCACCGCAATCTACACATAATCCAGCTCAATATCACGTCCATCCAATGCCTCAAGGAGAACCTTCGCAAGCTGGACAGGCCGAACAGGCGGGCACAACTGGGCCAGCTGGTTACTATCTCCCACAGGGAGTGACTATTCCCGTGGGCCACGACCCTAATGCTGGCACAGCACCACAGTACGTTCCTGCACCGGAGCCATCATATCCTCCGTCGCCGACAATGCGAAGGGACTCTCAGTTCCAGACAGCCCAACCGACCCCGCGGTCGAACCACTCGCAACCTACCTATTATCCTTCCTCAGATGTGATTCAACCTCATCAGCCACAACCTGTAGCCTATAACGCCCAGCAAATGTCCTCCGCTGCACATTTCCAAGCCCAGCCCCAATCACAAGAAGGCCCCAGCTCCCTACCACCAAGCGCAGCACAGCCCTCCCAACCCCATAATAATTGGCCACAGCCAGACTCCGGAGCAGGTCCCCAATACATGGCACCACTTGGAAATCCCGTCTATCAAAGTTTCGTCCCCATGGCGCCGACCGTGGAGCAATCGTACGTACCCCACCAACAGCAACATGCAACCCCGAATCCGGTTAAAGAAACACCCTTGATAGACATATGAAACTTTTTATTCCTTATCTGACCTTCCTTCCACTCATGGCGCTGGTTGTATTCTCCTTGCGCACCTCTTTGCGTGCCATATTTGATACCCAATGTGGCTTCTCCCGCCCTTTTCTCTCCCTGCTTGGTTGACTTGATCTGATGGGGCTCCCCGATGAACCGTATCCAATTGCTTTGAAGAAAACGTTTTCACTGTCTCTGTTATATTATATTTTTCTGTGCATGAGATTTTCTGAGATATGCCAAAAACTTAAGTTGTTTTTATGAACGTCTGGATGGGAAGTCATTTACATGTGTACTACTGGTCTAATGGACATAGAAGAACCAACAATAGCTCCTTTTATCTAGCCTGTTTATTTGAAGGGCTAGAACAAATCCCATTGTCTCTGGTCATCCGTATCTTGAATGGTAGATAGAAAACAAGTAGTAACCTTGGAAGTCTCCAGGCTGGTATTCACGTGACCACCCTCACCGCCTTCAGTATCGGGATCTCTTTGCCATTCCTTCCTTATCTTGCGCCGAGATGTGTCTCTTATTGGAAAACTGTTTATCCTGGAACTGTAGCTATCTTCATTCCAGAGTGGCGAGGATCACATTTTTCCCCTTCCACTCTCCAGTCAATCCGTCATGCTTCTTTCTGGTTTGCCAGCGGCCTATGCCTGTGTGCACTAACTAGTCAAGGCCGTGTCGCGATTGGAGCTTCGCCTGCAACTCCCAACGGGTCATCTCGGTCAGAATCTTCCAATTACCTCCCAACCACGCCTATATCCATCGCGAACGGAACAATCGATTGCTCCCCACGAGCGCCTTTGAATTGCGCCGCATCCTCCTGCAGCTAGCCCCATCGGAACCGATCTTCGTGGCGAGATCCATGACGTCTGCAGGAATCAGGAGGAACAGGACGAGCGCTTCTGCAGGCAAATAACCACTTCTGATTCGCTCTTCCTTGTCGCCAATATGCCGTCACACAGTACGTCGTCCCCGACTAAACATTCAGCGTCCTCGCAGCGAGCATCGTCAGATCCACTTCGATCGCCTTCCGCTGAAACAGGCCCGACACTTTCGCATCACAAAACATCGACCCACAAACATAATCGGCCACATGTGGTTGTTTCGCACCGCTCACACATGCATGCGCGCAACCCGTCACTGAAAAACATAAATAGGTTGCAGAGACTTGCTGCGGCTCACAATCTTCTAGGCGAGGGTGACACACATGCTGCACCTGCGTTAAGACACCACCAACGCAAAAAATCAGCGCCCGAATCTCCCGGATCGAGCCCTCGCGCTGGCCATCATCACATTCGCTGGAATGGCTCAACAGTTTCGCTGACGGGCCAAGGGGCTAATACGGCGATCAGGAAAAACCTTTCCACCCCGTTACTGAGGAATATATCAGGGGTTCTCGGTAGGAAATCGCCTTTGATGAACAAAACAGGAGCAGTTGATAAAGCGGGGCAGAAAAAGAAAGTGGGATTCGAGCTTGTGGCTTCGGAGGACGACGACGACGAGTGGGAAGATAATAATAGTTCTTATTCTCCGGAAAGTACAAGGCGGAATTCGGTGGTTACGTCCAAAATGAGTGTGGACAATAGCCCCGAGTCTCCTCTCCAGGCGCAAAAATCCCCTTCAGCCCAAGCAAGCGGCGATCTTGAGGGAGAGGCCGCGCGGGACACTACAGAACGCGCCAATGGTTCCGGCGCTGAGCCTCCTCAGGGACAGCATTCACGATCCCTTTATCAGGACGATATTGCTACCCGTCTCCTTTATCAACCGCATTCGTCTAAAGCTCCACCTGCTATATCATCTGTGTCAGCTACCGCAACGCCACCAGCAGTGGAACGAAGTCCTCGTCCGCCGTCCTTTCCGACTCTCCCTTCAGGCCGTATCCGCGATTCCTGGTCTGTTGCGGGGAGTGCGTCAACAAGCAATCCGCATGGAACATCATCTTCCATTGAAGGAGGGGTATCCAAATTCCTTATAAACAACCCCAGTTCCCAAACTGGGGCCATGGCTGATTCTGAACCCCCGTCCTCATTCCTGCCACACTACAACCCAAACACGCCACCATCCCCAGAAACGCAGGGCTCCAGACGGCCTACCTCTCGCGGTCGCCAACAAGAGCCACCCTCACGTACACAGCAAAAATTATGGTTACAACGAACCGCAACTCTTACTACCTCCCCCCCCGATCCTTCTATGTCCGGACCGTCCCCAACCATTGCCCCATCTTCGATGGAACCCACATTTATCGCTACTCAGTCTCGACCCGGCTCTCGGGACCATGCAAGAGACGGCCGCAGGGCATTGCTGGGAATGGGAGGAACTACAGGCATAAATCCCGAGAGCGAAGTTAAACGTGCCCGCAAGGTCTATGATAAATTCACTACAGAGTATTCAGTAGTCCGCCGTTTCAGATCTCCCATCGCGGAAAGCTTGCTCAGGCTCGATAAGATGGCAGGGGCGGATGCGAAATCCAGCAATACCCCTCAAACCCAGTCCAGCGGACAGAACCCCGTCGTCGCCAACGGAGCCCTTTCTCGCCCACCTTCATCGCGAAATGTCGACTCCGACCCCGCCGTCAACCACCAGTTTATCAGCAGGTTGCCCAAATCATCCAGCCAGGTACGATTCAGGACTTCGGAGGATACCGTCCACGTCAACTATTCAGATGAGCCCGCTGAGCGATTGGATGTGGAACATCAGCAGCAACGACTCAACTCGGTTGCCATTGTTCTTGCAGATGGAAACGTGTACGAAGAACCGATAGACGATGAAGACGGCGCCGGTGGCGTTGGCGGTGGCGATGGGCATGCCGCATATCAACCCAATGAAGCGGAACTACTCATTAGACGGATATGGGATAGTCGAGAAGTAGCCGTTGCGGGTGATTGACAACCTTTTTGACGCATCTCATCCCCGCTAGCATGTTTGTTTGTTTTTTTTCTTTTCTTTTCTTCTGCTCTGGCGATATGTATACTCCGCAATGCGTGAGCTCGTAACTACAATGATTTGTTCACCGAGCTCTTTCAGCTGATGATTCGATCGTTACGTCGGCCATCCTCCTTTTCGTGCTCTCCGTGTTTTTCATAATTGGCATGGGAGGTTTACATCACATCACAGAAAGCGTCCTCCTATTTTCTTCTCCCGAGACATGTTACTTTATCTTCCATTGTCATATACTATTACACTATTTATCTAGCATTCGTTGATTGACATCTCTCATGTTAAATATTATTAGTTTTCCTTCCCTCCTCTTTTTTTCTGTTTTTTTCTTCAAATATACAATTCGTCAATTTCTGGTGTTTCTAACATATCCCAAACCAGCCTTTGTCCTTTTGCCATATTTGTCAGAAATGAAGTTCTTTGTTCTTTCATCGTGCATTATCTCATTTTGTTGAGCAGTTTTTACCTAGTTGTTAGTTAAAGGGGGTTGGTTAGTTTAATCTTGATGTCTCCTTTGCGTGGTTGAGCAGATACGGTGAGTACAGAGTAGATATCGTCCGTCAGTTGTGTATCCATGTTCCTCCAAAGCAATTACATTACCAAGATTATCTCTGACCAGATCCAGGAATGTTCGGGGAACTCCCCCTGGATCAGAACGACATGTAGGAGCCTTCGCTGACACACTCCCCCCCCCCCCCCCCCCAAAAGCTTGAAGACAATCCTCGTGCCGCTGCGCTCCCGGCGGTGTTGTGATTGAAGCCAAGCCATGAATATACCCGGCAAAAAGCAAAGAAGCCAGTCCAGTCATTGCCCAAGCATGGCCGGGCTCGTGAGCCTGGTATCGATACGATGGTGCGGTTAGAGGTTAGAAATTGATGCGCCAAATCGAACAAGGAATGAGTTCGCTGTCTCGCCCGCAGAGAATGGCAAGTCGTTAGCGTTGGCTGAGAATCTGGTTGCCTAGCCTTCAACGGATGAGCCGGCGAGAAAGTCTGCGACGAGGGGCAAGGACATGCTTGCTTTCTCTCCAGCGCCTTTCGTGAAGGATTGTCTCTCTTGTCTTTCTTATCATTCTTGACTTGCTTTTCCTCCAGGAATTATTTGTGCCATAGTTTAACGGGACTACACCCGTGCTGTCTTACCGATATCAGGGTATCCTCAGGACACAGGATACTCACGCAGTATCATTTACCGTTTTTGTTGTGACGGGACAAGTTATATCTTGCCCTCTAGCCCCGTCGATTGATTTTGAAGATCTCCTTCCATATCTTCGAGATCCCCATTCTTTCGTTTCACTTTTCCTCTGAACCCATGGGTCTTCCACAAGTCGCCCGCCCTTACAGGGACGATTCGGTCCCCTCATCCTCAGCTTCCGCTCATTCTCTCCAATCATATGAACACTTTGAGCCAGAAGATAGTCCCCCAGCATACACAGAAGATGACACTATAGCTCTCATCCAACCCAACGTCACCAGCACTCCTGGCCGCAACAATCTCTCCTCTGTAGCCCGTCTAGTAAGCGATTACGAAGTCCCCGGCGGGCGAGTATTGTCCTCCTCGCGCGCCAAGAAGACCTACACAGTGACCCTATCGCCAGAACTCTCGCAGGATCCCGAAGCGCTTTGTAAACTGATTACATATCAAACCCAGCGCCCGCCCGTGCCCATTATCGTTGTCAAGGGCATACATACGGAGTCCGTGAAGAGCTATGGACGGAACAGGAAATCCCACCACACGAACACCACAAAGGAGACTGTGGTGGATTTTGAATTTCGCATAAACTGCCTCAACTCCGTCTTGCCGGATGTTGATCGGCCAGGGCGTCGGTGTCGGTTTGTGGACATTGCGAGAATTGAAGATTGGAAGAAGACGTGTCGCGGTGTGCGGGTTAAAAGCAAAGGTGTTCATCACAGGAGCAGGCGTGGAGGTTTTGCTGTTGCTGGTACCGATGCGGAGCTCGAGGAGGCTCAGGGGTTGACGACCGGCAGTGGAGAACCAGATCTGGAGGAGTGGTGCAAGCGGTACTGCGAAGATAAGACGCGAGTTAAGTCGTGAGTTTTCGCTTCCCTTGTACCCTTACTTGTTTATCCTGCAAGATACATGGAAGGAGATATGTCTCAATGTCCCCCCCCCCCCCCAAAGCTAAACATCCCTTCCTTTCCAGCTTCACTTTCCACCGCACCTGGGAAGCCTGGGACTACGGCGCCATCCAGAAGGGTATCACAACCCTGATACGCTCCCTCAACTACCGCGGTCACATCTGCATAGAAATACACACCCACAACGCCCACCTGACCGTCTACTCCCCCGCCCTCATCAACAAACTGCGCACAAACACCTTCGTCTGGTGGGTCTGCGTCCTCCTGCAACTCTGGCTCATCACCTGGCCCCTCCTCTACATCATGGAGAAACCCTTCGAGCCAATCACAGCCACGTGGTACGCGCGCTACAATGAGGAGCACGCCTGTGGCCTTAGCGAAGCGATGTGGCTAGAGCTTTTCACGCCGGTTATTAAGCGATCGGTGCTGGCGAGGGCGAAGGATGGCGAGATGGTAGGGCTGGAGGAAGCTCGGGTGGCCAGGGCGGAGGCGGATAGAGCGGCTGGAGTTGAAGTTGGGAGAGCGGGATCGGAATTGGAGGCGGAAAGCAGGCCGCGGAATTGGGCTGATTCTCTGGTGGGAGTGGTTAGGGGGTTGGCGGAGGTGAGGCAAGAGTACAATCAGGCGGCGGGGTGGGGTGCGGATTGCTGAGTGTTTTTCTTTTCTTTTCTGTCCCTGTTTCTGTTTCTTTTTTTCTGTTCTATATATATATATCACGGCATGAAAAACCCTTCTACTGTACATTTGTGAGAAATGCCAAGTAACCAGGCATATGTGGATAATGAATGATATTATCCATATTTTTACTTATAGTCTCAACAGTATGGTATTTTCGATTTTTCGTCGGTGAGGGAAAACTAACAGTTATATGACCCCATAAAATTATACACAATTGAAGAAAGTCGTTGAAAAAAATTTGCTTTCATAAAAACACCAAGCAACGAAACGAATCTCGAATACGAACAAACCCGCCAACACTCAGGTTAGGGTTAAAATTTTGAGAATTTGGGGTTAGGGTTAGGGAGGGGGTAAGGAAATAAAGATGCAATACACGATCGTCCCTTACAAACTATTATTCACGACATCGATACTGCTCTCTCCTTCCCCTTGCCACGAGGTCCAATTCTACTGCCACCCCCTCCACCGCCTCTCCCTCGAGAATGGCCAAGGTTATGACTCTGTCCACGAACACCTCCCCTTCCTCGATCAGAAACAACCCTCCGTCCATTTCCATCCGCAGCAGCGCTCTGCACTTGCAGCTGACAGGCAGGGCTTTCTTCATCGTTCGACGTCGCCGCGATAGTGTTGGAGATATTTCCCATGGCACCACCACCCCTTCGTCCCCGATCAGAACGGGCTTGGGCACTGCCTGTCGCTGGCCCACGCGCAGATCCACCTCTTCCTCCACCACTAGCATCGCCCCCTCCACCCCTACCTCTCTTCCCTTTTCCCCTCCCCGATCCCGAACCCACAGCCACATGTCTTCTCGCCGCCGCAGCCTCTGCCTTCTCAACTTCCTCCCTCACCCTCCTGCTCTCCTGATCCCACCATTCCTGAAACTCTTGCTCGAGCTGGATATCCTGCAACTTATGCTTGGCGGTAGCCGCCTCCCGGATCACGTCTTTCTCGATCTGCTGCTGTTCGAGGATGTAGGCTAGGGAAAATGAGCTGGAGGAAGGTGAAGGGCTGGAGTAGTTGAATTGCTGTTGATAGCGATGATGGTCATCTCTATTGCGGGTAGTGATGGCGTAGGGCTGAGATCGTGAGGCCGTCTGGTTTGGCGTCGTCAATGGAGGAGTGGCAGACGAGGAGGGTTGTCGTGGTAATGACTCAGCCTTCAAGGTAGGTAGGGGTGACCCTTTTGGTGTGGAAGGCGGTAATCGGGTTTCCTGTGCATGTTGCTGCTTCTGTGGAGCCGGATTGGGCGTACTGCTTTGCGGCGAAGGTACACCAGCGACGGTTTGCCGCAGTGTCATTGGCGGCTTTGAGGGCGTGCGAGCCGGCGTCGAGACATTCATCGTTGGCTGGGATTCTGCCGGCGTCGATGCAGGTGCCGGAGATGATCTGCTAGCGACGGTTTGCCAAGGTGGCGAGGGTTTTGATTTGGATGTCTCTCGTTGTTCAAATACCTCACGGGCATGCTGTTGCTGGAGCTTTTTACGCTCTTTCTGCGAGAGCTTTGGTGGGATGAGTTTGCTTGTTACGGGTGCATCTCGTCGAGGCGATATATTTATGCCCGCGCCCGATGGATGAGATCCTAAAGTTTCTGCCATGATATCCTTCAAGCCTGTTTTAGTATTTGAAGGTCCAACAGAACTCCATGGAGCACCAGCAGGCCCTCGTTCGTGAGATTTTGCCAGAAGCGTAGTAGACGAGCTATCAGGGTCCGTGGACGCTGCTGACATTTTGGCTCCGGTATCTTGAATTTTTTCTTCCATCTGCAACGGTCGTCTCTCGACATCCATTGAATCAATTTGTTTCCGAGATGGCTGGATACTGACTTCATGTTGGTTGAAGGGCAGGAGGTGATCATCATCCATATGGAAAATCAAGTCTCCCGTTGACTGCTTTGACTTCAGCGCTGGACTCGCTTCCTCGATCGACTCCGCCTCCCTGAGAACAGGTTCAGACTGCCGAATTTTGACGGAAAGAGGTGGGATGACACCGCCCTTATCACTGGTGCCGGTGCGGAATTTACTCTCCCGCAACTCATCTTCGTGCAGACGCGAACGAAGCCTCATTGAATCTATCCGGCGTTGCTTATCCTGTTCAAGGAGAGGAATTACTTCTGGGTATTTTGCCGCGACGTAGTCTTCCGAATTCCGACCCCGAGAAACTGGTTGGCATGTTAATTGGTTTGCGCGACAGACAGCGTCGAGTTCGCAGAATAGATCATCGTCTAGGTCATCAAGCAGCCTATAGCAAAGAAATTAGTCACAAGTAACAATAACAACCGCAGAATGAGAATTCCGGAATAACAGCGAAATAGCTACATACCTGTTTTCCAGCATAGCTTCAAGATTTAAGCAGATGTACTCTAGCGCGGCCTGTTTGAACGCGGTCACCGAACACGGTGCAACTGCATTTAGATAATGACATACGTTCCGATTATTAACTGCATGGAATTAGCCATTTGTGCGTTTTTCTCATGAATTTAAAGAAAAGGTCCATCCATACCAAACCGGCCCAGCAGCTTCTGGCATATCTGTGCAAGCCTATCCAGCATCAACTCATTTGCAACAGCCATAACATCAATTACCAGGTCAATCAAATCATCCAGCTCGTCAAATTTAACGTCTTCAAAAAGCTCATCATCCGTATCCGCATATATATGACGCAAGGCGAATTTGAAGATGCCAAGACGGATATGTTTCAAATCGACACGAACAGGATCAACACCAGAATCGGAAACACCATCACGTCTTCCGGCCAACCAAACACCGCCGGATCTCCCGTAAAACAACCCATTAAAAAACGGACAGCGAGCGCATAAAATCTGCCTGTGGGCGCTTGCATTGCCGCCATCAAGTTCAATCACCACGTCACTACATCCAAAGAGGTTGGGATCCTCATACGCCCGCTCCATATTTATATGTAAACTTTTCCTAGGCAAAATCATGAATCTCGCAGCACGCTCAAGCTCACGAAGTTCAAGTGCCGTTGCTAGCTTCAAGACTTCGATTCGAACCCGTTTGTACTGCGCCGCATGTTTGGTTGAGTGGCGCACTAGCGTCCACACATCATAGACCTTGTCTGCATACATATACAGCACCAGGTTGAATATGGACAGGAAGTCGACGTCGTGAAACTTGATTGAAACCTGGCCGCTCTTATCGTACTCGACGTCGAAGGTGTCCGGAACGGAATGATAATACGACTTACGGAATTCAGACAAAGCCCTTCTCAAAACCGAGCTTCGGCCAGCCAGAATGAACTCGTGTGCCGGAATTCGAACATCAGAGGCAGTTGTCGACACCCAAACAATTGGTCGAAAGGAATCGGAGCAAGCAGCATCATCCAATGTTAACTTGATTTCCGACTCAAGGCTGCAAGGCTCGATAAGCGTGTTCCTTATAACGACATCCACGGACATCACCAAGGTATCACCAGAGTCCCTAGCCCTCAATATGCTTTTAAATGCTAAGAGGGGCCAGAAATCATCCCATATAGAGGGTCGACCAATCATTATTTGCTCTTTAGCCACGTCGCAACTGCGCTGAGAAACCGCGTATGCCCCGAACGCATTACTCCTAACAGCCACGACGCGGGAAAGGCCTGGAACCCGAACGAATTTGTAGTCTTTCAAACGAGAAGTTTCTGTGGTTTTGCCGTCAGCCTCCTTGATCTTGGCGCGCTTTTCCTTTCTCCACGCAGAGCCAGACTCGGTGCATAAAATGATGGATCCATCTTGACCAACGTCAACGTCTCGGACAGCCATGTGGGATTTTTTGATAGACCACACGCAAGACGGCTGCGGCAACGAATTTCGGATCTTGGCTGGGTTGGTGGTGGACGATGCTGTAGAACTAGTATCCGCCTTGCGGCTAACATGAACTGTATAGACTTCGCCGAATGTCGACATCGCGCATATAGTATTGCCGCCAGATGTGATTTTAGATATGTGATTGGTGGATAAGCCGTATCTCGTCGACATGAAGCTGTTTCGAATGAAGCTCGACGCGCCATCAAGGGGGAAGACAATTTTAGAGTAACCGTAATGGGTGAAGACCCAAACTTCGTGGTTTTCGAGCAAGCAGGTCGTGGCTCTATCGATTGCTGAAACCATCACAATGGGTGAACTGAACAGCGACGCGCCAACCCTCCGGGGAATTGTTTGTGTCTCGAGAGAGCGGGCATCGGCATCGATGAGACCCAACTGACCTTCATTCTTACCGAACGTATATAGACCTGTGGGCGTAAATACAACAGAATGGATGGCAGAAGCAGCCGCGCCGATAATGGCCTCTTTCTTAAAAGGGTTGAAGATTTGCCGCGGAGTAGTTTGGATGGGCACATCGTTCTTGTGGCTAGTTTTAGGAAGCGCGTATCCCAGCTGTCCGTACTTATTACTTCCCCAGCTGAACACCTCTCCCTGTTCAGAGACGGCGATGGAATGGTCTTGGCCAAGGGCCAGGGAAACAACCTTCTTCCCCGCAAGACCGCCGCCCTCGATGCAAACAAAACTGAATCTGGTACCTTGGTCACCAGTTCCCAACCTCCCTCCTGGACCAAACCCGCACATAAACAGATTCGATTCCGGGTCATCTGTAATGATTCCGGTGTGTAGTTTTGACATCACAATTTGTTGGTAGATGATGGGACGCGCTCGAACCAAAGTAGGAATATCATTGACAGAATGGATATCAGACTCTTCGGCATGGGGATCTGACCCTCTACGGGCAGCACGAACTACTCTGTGGTCACGATTGAAAGTGTATAACAGATGATCTGGGCGGGTGAGGCCGATCCGCTCGGGGAATTGGCGGTCATCCTCATCACCCAGCCCAAGATTAAGATTCTTGTTGCTACCGAAAGTGAATACCTCATCACCAAGTATATTGACCACAGGCTTTACGTTCGCCGGCCTGGCCGTCTCATGATCAATCTCTGTTTCGGACAAGATGGAAGACTCGGTTGACGCTGCATCATCTGAATCTGAATTAGACTTATATCCCGAAGCATTGTTGATATCGCGAGGCAGAATAGTCGCTCCAAAGACGTCGAAGGGGCTGTTTCCCTCGCGGTCTTTGATCTTGATCAGACCACCCGATGGATGGGGGACTCCTCCGGGCGGCCTGAAATCAGTAGCATCGCGAATATCCCTCGCAAGAAGGGCCTGCGCAATGGTCACATTCCCAGCGTATAGCGCGCGATGGAGCGCAGTCCACCCGCTCTCCAGATCCTGGGCATATATATCCACGAAAGGCACCTCCAGCAGCGCAGAAGCAAATTCAATCGCATTTTCCTTCTGCGACGAAGCTATTAGGTGCAATAACGTGCGGCCATAGCGATCTTTCACATTGACATCAGCGCGAGTTAATATAACAGGCGCATTCCGCGTGGTGGCGGAGGGCTGCTTCAGCGATGAAGCAGCAGTTGGGCGGGAACCTTTCAAGAACGAGCCTGGTGATGTCCCTAGCGCGGCTCCAGAGCTTCCATGGCCCGAAAAGGCAGACGCATTGTTACTGCTTTTCCGTTGAGTATTGGAGCTGGTGGTGTCTGCCAAAAACCGTGTGAAGCTCTGGACATCATCTTGGAGGAAATACTGCCAGAGTTTGCTACTCATGTGCCTTTGCGTGGGGCGGTGGCAGGATCCCGGACAGAGGACCCCCCAGTTATTGAACACCCCGAATAGGGTTTAAACCGCGGTGTCGCCTCGATTCGACGGATCGCGGGGGTGGCTGTTGCAGGTTCCTTTTATTGTTTCTTGCTCAAGGGGCGTGTAGGACAAAGCTAGGGCTGCGAGACAGACGGGGAACGAGAAAGATCGGGTATTGCTCGTCCGGCGAATGAATGTGCGCGGCTACGGATATATAGCGATTCGAATGGAAGAGGTCTGTCCCGTTCCGATGGGTGCTGTCTGCCGTGGAGAGATGACGAGCGAAAGGTGGAAATCGGCGAATAATTTTACGTTGTGGCGACGGCTGTACTCGTAGTTAGTGCACTGTAGGGCTCGATATTTGCCGAGGATAGAAAGAGTTTGTGTGTCAATGCAGGGCCCAAATAGCTGCGACTGTCAATGGGATGCTGTATTCCTGTCTACCGCTGCCGCCGACGGTGGACGAGAGAAGAACGCGGAGGAGGATCAGGATATTTGCTCCGGCAGAGGTTTGGGTTGATATCACATCATACAGTCATTGCCCGGTGCAAGTAAACCCACTCGAGCCAATCACAGCCCGCAAACCCCTCCATGAGGCCGGGCGAGAGGTCGAGAGCATTTTCCCCGTGTTTGATCTGGAGATGAGAAACGAGTATGGAATAGAGGGGTAGGAATCGCAGCTCTGGCTGGGAGATTCTGGGTCAACTCGGCGAGATATCAGGTTGAGGAACTAGATGCATCAAACTGGCCATCATGGATACTGTATATCAGAGATTTTATATCACCTCTTGGTTCTTGAAACCTGAGCACTGTCTCGCTCGTATAATCGAGCATTCCCCCTTCCTTATAATACTGCCTTTTTATCATGTAATTATCAGAGTTGTCATAGTCAATTGAATATTCTTTTTATATTCAGTATTTGGGTCAATATTCGGACATTCCATCGTTCCAATACTGGCAATTGACGACGAATCCAACGCCTTTTTTCTTTCTTTTTCTTTTTTCTTCTTTTTTTTTTTTTTCCCCCTTCATATGATGCTATTCCATAATAAACTACAACTGGAATGATATCTTCATAGCTTGTCCAGCCACTATTCCATTTATTCGAGTCTTCGGCTTCGTGGATCTCTACAAGGCTTCTACATGCTCTCGCAGTCTCGTTCCAATCTGGCAGCAACAGAGACCTGCTCATGGCAGAACGGATAATGCCCAAATCGCAGAAAACGCAGCTCAGAGAATCCGCATATTTATCCCTTCCAAGCAAGTGCTCTATCAAGGATACCGTTCTCGTCCATCGATCGAAGACGCGGGGGTGACAACAGAAACCCAACGCAACAACGGCACAACTCGAACACAAAAGCATCTCGATTCTTCTTCTTCTTTCATGGCCATCTCTTGAGCTCGCTTCATATACCAGGCAGCAATTGCCTCTCGGCCGGGCAATTAGGCAACGCTGTGCTCTGAAGAACGCCAAAGAAGACCCCCTAAAAAAAAGACAATGGTAGCCTGGCGAAATGACAAGAAGACGCAAGCTTGACCCCCCAGTCGGCATCGACGCAGTATCTAGAATTGTCCGATTGTTATCCATCATATTTTGCCGTCCTCTTTGGGTGCTGTTGTGGTCGGCTGTTGCGAAACACAGAGACTGACCAGCTGGAAGCTCAATTAAGCCAAACATCACCATCAAAGCCAAGTATGTACTCCGCGGGGAAAAAAGAAAAAAAAGAAAAAAAATCCGCAATGATTGACCGCTGGAATTGGGAAAAATTCCCCTGCCTGGATTGCATGCATGCATGTTTCCTTTGCTTCGAGGCCAGAATCAAAAGAAAGGGCATAAAATTCAATCGACAAATCGGCCTCGATTGCACTCTCTCCGCCCTAGCGCTTGTTTGGCTGGCCGGGCCCGTAGTTTGCTGCCAGCAAAGCGCCCATTATTGGTCGGCAAATGAGCAACTTTCGCTCCGCTAACCTCAACGGCGGCGGTGTCGCCTTGACCAAGCTACAGGGTTGAAAGGAGGAGGCTTAAGAGCAGGAGCCAAGATCGGGACGCGACAGCCTTCACTGCTCATGACTCGGAGCCTGGCACAAGAGCTGCTCGCGAGTCGTTGTCATTCTCGCTCTGTCCTGTGTCGATTTCTTGGTGGCTGGTCAAGCTTGCAAACTCACGAGACGAGGCCAGTCAGTCCAGTCACAGGCCTTGGAAGTGCTTCTTGATTGCATGACAGCTTCTCGTCACGTTTTCGTCTTGTACACGAAGCAAAGAATGACCTCAATGGGGGAAGGGGGAAGAGAGACTTAGTGAGCTAAGCACCAATATTTCGAAGGAAAAAAAGAAGAGAGAGAGAGAGAGATGGAGAGAGAGAACTTCGCAAAATAACAAGCCCTCGACCCGAAACTTCATTGAACAAGGATTATTATATAGTGATAATTGTTATACAGGTTTGACAGCTCATCGTTTTACAAAGACGTGCTACGACATGTTTTTTCCAATGCAGTAATCCGCTTCATTACATGCTTCTCTCATCATTTGATGAGCTTGGGCTACCTTTTATCGAGGTACCGGGTGCGTACATGTACTAGGAAACACCCGAAACCTCAACCTCAGACGCACAAAAAAGAGAGCAGCGAGATATATCGTGCTTTTTTTTTGTTTTGGCCCATCACGGGTCCCTAGATGAGTAGCTGTATTTATTGAAGGGCTGAGACGAGATTCGCCGGGCGAAGCCATTCCCGACGACTATCTTCTTCGGCCCACGACCGGAGGCTGCAGGACGGGTTTCATGAACTGAGGTTTCCTCACCCCCCTCCCTTCCTTGAAACAACGGGATTCTCCTCTGACCCGGACACATTCATCCATTGAAATAGATCCTAGCTTCGCTCTGGGTTCATAACGTGCCACGTTGTTCACCGCTTTGATCTCACTGTGACAATAACTAGAGGATGATAAGACCAATTGCCCAAAGATACTTAAATAGCGCGAACCGGGTTTTAGGTCCAAGGAGTAGACCGAGTGCCGGCTCCAACCTCAACGCTTGCGTCCCCTTGCATTCTCGTGCGCTTTTTGTGCTTTTGTGTGTCTGTCGCTAAGAAAAATGGAGTTAACTAGAAGCCTGTGGATAACTATTACCTTATTACTAAATAAGCAGGGCCGGTGGGCCGATGGACGCCAATCCTGGATCCATCCAATCCAGTCCAGTCAAACAGAAAGAAGTTGCTGTGTGGAGAAGTAAAAGTAAAATGTGGAGCGGGCGAGGGATCTGCAGCTGCAGCACAACTCTCCTGAAACTTCTCGGCTGTTTTGGCGATTATCATACATAAAAACAGCGTTCGCAACTGGAGGGAAGAGGTTCATTGAGTGGGCATGGCTGGGCTGGGAAGAAAGTAGAATAAAAGAAGCCGACTCCAGACAAAAACACTAGTATGATTGTTTGTCGTTGCGTCGATGCATGGGCGTGGTATTGCGGGTGAAGCACCAGTAGCAGCGAATGTGCGCGGTCTGAGAATGGGGTGAGGCAGCCAGTTGCGGCAAAGGAGCCTGGGCTTCTGCCTCGTCTGAGTCGTCTAGAGCCCTGGGCCTGGGTCTGCTGGCGGTTTGGGTGGTTTATCATCTGCTGGTCCAGACATTATGTGAGCCCAAGCCAGCTGTCCAGCCATTTGTTTGGTGATGGAGAACCCGGCATCCATGTGTCTGCTCAAGTATTGCGATTCGGGGTAGGAAGAGAACTGTTACTTCACAGGCCACACGCAGTCTATCTGTCGTAGTATATATCTGTTCTCGCACCATTTGAGTAGTTATATAAATGAAAGTGACCTCAGATGACTGCGGAATGGCGTATGTGATCGGTGGGTGAAATCCGATACCGTATTGTATAATACAGTACCAACTTTATCTGTCGCTGGCACGCGGCGGCTTTGTGCCGCAAGTGAGATCGGAGCATCCTATTGGCTCAATCGGGGATTATGCAAGCCATTGATTACAAGCTGTACCATATCGTATGGTACATTGCGATACCAATACCGCCAAACCAGCGATGACATGAGATTGTCAGGACGATCGAGCTCGAAACACCCAGGGACGACGACGAGCATCGAACGAAAAGCAACCACAACAGGCATCTTGGATACCGCGGGCGTGAGCGATTGATTGCAGACCAGGCAGAACTCAACTCCCCGCAACCCAGGCCTGCTGCAGCAGAACCCCATTCTCCACCGGCCACCCGCTCCATCCTCTCCATCACTGCCTGGCGGCTGGCGCTCCCTGTTGGTTGGCTGGTGTGCCATTTCGAGTCAGCTGTTGTGCGTCACTCGCCGTTGCTGCTCCAAACCTCAACTTCCCGGATTTCTCCCCGTCTGCCCAAACTCACAAACCTCATCAACCTCGCTCACTGCAACCTATCTCTCCTGTTCCTGCTCCCGTCTTCCTCTCCCTCTCTTTTGACCAAGTGGAAATACTCCGGAAGATGTTCCACTAAAAGTGCTGTTCCCCCTTCTTGGGAGGAATCCGCTGCCCGTCTTCCGATCTCTGGGGTCCTGAGATCCAGCACGATTTACTTTCCTTGATGCCTCCCCATAACCTATCCGATATCTCCATGCTATCACAATAATGTTCACTGCCAACGAGCTCCGTTCCCGCACTTGTCGAATTCCTGCGAGCTTAAGCTGTGCCTCATAAGGCTGTTCTCTCCATCAGCTATCAACAGCCACCCCTGCGAATCAACCTACTGGTGCCTGCGTTTGTTGTCAAGTATCCATCGTGAACATGGACAGCTCCCAAACGCACAAGCCTGATACCTTTTTTCCTCCTGCCTGAAAAAATATCCCTCCTTCCTCACCGGCCTCCCACCCATTTAAAAACCCTCACGCGAGATTTCATACCCAAGAACGGTTTCTGCCCGATATCCCTCGACGGACAACAAATCCCCCCTGGTCTTTAGCAACGCCCAATCAATCAAGATATCCCTGAGGACCTTGAAGGGCCAACTTCGGTAACTTCAGACTTTGAGGTACTATCTTGTCGATACCAAAAAAAAAAAAAAAAAAAAAAAAAGAAATGCATCAACATCCTCGTCCGCCGCCAGCAACGGCGTCGTCCGCTGCTAGCTCTTCCAGGACCAACCCAGCTCGCCCAACCAACCCTCGAGATCGAACTGCAGAGGCGAATACATCACAGGCTGAGGTTGGTCCCGCAAACTTGACAACAGGACTTGGGATTGAACATGACGCTGAAATGTTCGTGCAGGTCCCATCAAATGTAGCTCCTAGTCGGGATATCATCGCCAAGTTAAACCAAATTGTTCAAGTAAGTTTGCTGTACTAGTTTATTTTACTCTTGACATAGTGGATGTGTAGATGCTGAATTTCATGTTTTCTTCTTTATCATAGCAATATCATACGAAGGCTGCTTTAATCATTCTGCACTCTCGAGTCGAGCTCCCCCCTGCGTACAACAAAGATTCGGATATGAAAAGGGTGAACAGATGGGTACGTGTTTATCAATTTATTTGATAGGTTTTTTTTTTTCTTTTTTTTCTTTTTTCTTTTTTTTTTTTTTTTTTTGGTTGTCACTACGAAGTCTCAATTGGCAAACAACGCATTAACGAGTGGACTCCAATGGTATAGTTTAACGTTGAACTCGACGAAACCGATGTTCTAAGAGATGATCTCCGAACGTGGAAGTCCTGTGACACTGTCGACCGCCGTCCTCCGCCGATGGTGATTGAAACCTACCTTGATCCGGACGAGTTGACACACAACCAGAGCCTTGTGATTCTTGATGATCGTGGGAAACGCTGGGATGTTCTCGAAGCTCTTGATGCCTCGTTTTCTTACAAAAGTTCTCGGGATACTAGATATAGTAGAGTCATTCTAGAAAGATGGCAAGTTGAACTGGGGGATGCAGCAGGCGATCTGCCCGCCGATCTCGGCTCTATACTCCCAACTGTCTACAAGAAAAGCATCGTACTGTTTAGATCTCTTTTTACGTATTCCCGCTTCCTCCCTGCTTGGAAATTCTCCAAACGGCAATCAACAATGCGATCGAATCCGAGCCTGCCAATCCGGTATAGAATATTCAAGGGATCCCGACCAGAAACCCATCAGGAGCTCGACCCTTTGAGCGTCCCGTTCTACGATGGTGGTGGTAAAACTACGGAGACTTTCTCCTTTGGTGCCACTGAGTCTCCCGCAGGCCAGTTCTCGGTTCAAGTAACATATCGAACGAACTGTGACTTTAGGGTGGACGACTCCGAAACGTTATTGAGTTCGAGGTTCATGGGCGCCGATGACACATACTTTAGACCCTCTCTTCCCACTGAAGATCACTTCCCTAGCGGACCACAAGAGGCTGGATCTCTACCCGTTACCAGGCGAGAAAATGATCCACCAAACAATGCCCAGGCCTATGGTAGTTTATCCACTTTTCATCATGCAATTCCTGCAACCGGGGCCAGCCCACTGTCAGCTCTTCGCGCAGCCAGAGAGCTTGGAGCTGGGTCGCCGGGATCCCCGATATCACCCCCTTCTCCCAAACCTGGCCAAGGAAAGCCAGGTATCCGCCCCCGAGATGTTGTCCACTCTGCCCAAAGAAAACCCTCGATTTCATTTCCTCCTTTCAAAGCCCCACCTCTTTCCGCGTCCCCGTCGCTTGTA